AGAGAGAGAATTTTTTAATATTTATTTTTTAGTTTTCGGTGGACACAACATCTTTTATTTTATTTTTATGTGGTGCTGAGGATCGAACCCAGCGCCCCGTGCATGCCAGGCGAGCGCACTACCGCTTGAGCCACATCTCCAGCCCCTGGTATTTTATTTGGTGTTGGGTGGGAAGGAATGCTTGCTTGAGGGAGAATTTAGCAACATTCTTTTGGAAGTAGATATGATCTCTCTCCAAAATAATTGGCCCTGAGTGTTTTGTTTTCCCATAATAATGGTATATTTGGGGACTGTTGGGGAAGGACTGGTTCAAGCTGGTTTTATGGGGAGACAGAATCTTTTCATCAATCTTTTGTGATCTGGGCTTTCACTCTAATCCAAGTCATTTTATGGTGTGATAGTCCACTTCTGTCTCTTTTGTCTGCTTTATAGTGCTGGAGAATAAATGGTTTCTATTACACTTTATTTTTAATAGAGTACTTCTAATAAGTTTTGACAGTGTTTTTCTTTAGACTTTTTTGACATTATGTGACCTTTTTATTTCAGGTTTTTATGATGAGTTTATTTTGCTGCTGGACTTCAACAGTTTATACCCTTCCATCATTCAGGAATTTAACATTTGTTTTACAACAGTGCAAAGAGTTGCTTCAGAGACACAGAAAGTTACAGAGGTTTGTATTTAACTGGGGTCTCTTGAAATTAGAATTAAAAGTATTGCTTAAAGGAGGAGGAGAACCAAAGGAGTTAGTGTTGTAGTTTTTATTTTTATTCTTTATGCCTTTATTTTTATGTGGTGCCAGGGATCAAACCCAGTGCCTCACGCATGCTAGGCAAGCACTCTACCACTGAGCCACAACCCCAGTCCCTGTAGTATTTCTTCTTAAAGGATATATTAATTATGTCCTTAGTTATCAAAAAGAGAGGTTGTCCAGAAAGAGATAAACTGGTTCAGTATCTTTTTAAAAGTAGTATTATTGAGGTATAATTCACACACATTACAATCCACATAGCAGTCCTGGCGTTTAGATTATTCAGTTTGTAATCATTACTATGTTCATCTTTAGGACATTTTTATTATTTCCCAAGGAAACATTTTACTATCATATCCCTCCCCCCATTCCTTCCAGCTCTAGGGAATCACTAATCTTCCTGCCTATATAGATTTGTGTATTCTGGACATTTCATATAAATGGAATCATACAACATGTAGTCTTTTGTATCTTACTTTGCACATTATTTTCAAGGTCCATCTGTGTTGTAACATGTATTGATACTTCTATTTTTTCTTTTCTACCTCCTGTTTGCTTTCCTTCCTTCTTTCCTTTGTCCTCCTTTCCCTCCTTCCTTCTCTTTTTTCATAGCAGAAGATGCCTATTTGCCCTCTAGCTTCTTAATTTACATGTTTTTAGTTCCGGCCACCTGCCCAGGAGCTGTTTTTCATTTCCAATTCCATATTCCCAAAAAAGAGAATCTAATGGGCTTGCCTAGGTCAGTGAGCACCTCTGGTCCTATCACTTGTGACCGCAGGAGTGGGTTCACAGAGTACAAATCTGGCTGTTAAAGATGAATCTTTCTATGGAACTAGAGGATAATCTTACAGAGGTGGTATTGGGTAGACAACCTCCCAAATAGTGACTGCCTTTGATTAATGTTCTTTGGGCTTTGTCCTACTACTGTACCAGCACGTGGTAATTATCATTATCCAGCCCTTTTCCCCAACTGCTGCCCAGCAGTGTTTTGTTTATTTGAGCTTTTCAATTTGGATTTTGGATATATAACAGAATCCTTTCAGAGTAGAAGGACTTTAGAAGTCACCTAAGAAGTATACATGTAGCTATTAATGGATTCTGTATCATTTTCATGTACTATATTTTATCTTCAGATCAGTTAGTGTCACATAGGTAGTGATGGTGAAGCTGGGAGTGGATTGCAAATTTTTTGACTCCAGATTGTTTCAAGTTTACTTTTCATTTGACTTTCATAGTTGCTGTAAATAAATTGGAATGTGTAGCAAGATCTTTTTAATAGGTCTGCTATCATCATGTGCTATATTGGAAAACAATAGGTCCCTGTTACTTTTCTAAGAGTGTTCATTTACAGATATTGATCTTTATAAAATTAGATACTTTGTAAAGGCTGGCTTATCAAATGGCATTGACTTGACATACTTTAAGCTAAGAGGTTTATTTTAAATTTTGTACCTTTGAAAGGGCAAATGCATCTGGCTTTTCTTTGTAGCCTGTTAATAGAATTAATGGAGACTTGAGAAAAATAGTCTAATTCTTTCCCTGCTTTTTCCTGATGTAAATTTTAATATAAGAAGACTGCTGGTTGCTTTTTGAAAATGTTGCTATTCTTCTGCCAATTGTAAACCAATTTATAGGTAAAAAGTATTACATCAGTGCTAAGGAATATATTTGTATTAATTTTTAGAAATGTCATGGCCTATTTAAATGTGCTTCAAATTCTTAAAAGAAATTTGCTAGTTTAGTATTTAGCTTTTTATTTTTAGTCTAAAACATTTACAATAATTGCTATGATTCTCCATAGTTTTAAATTTCTATAGCATTTTGTTTGGTCGTACAAATGCTTTAAAATGGTAGTTTAGCTGCTGGTTATTTTTTTTAAATCCTAGAAGTCTGTCTGAGCATTTGTATTTTAAAAGCAATTTCCCCAAACATGTTGCTCCTCAATCTTGTTAAAGAGGATGGTAGCATGTGTAAAAACCCATCCCTTTAAATGAAATCAAAATTTGTGAGTAACTACAAGGGTGGGAGATATTGGGAATGACAGGCTGATAGAACACGGGTGGGAGGAAGGTGGTAGTGGGAAGGGCCGTGGTCTGCAATCTGTTCAACTCTTTCTTAGGGAACGTTGATCTTTACTCATATAAGAAAGAAGCTTTTAAATATGTGATCATGGGGTAAAGTGCCTACCAAATATTATTTTAGAATTTTATTTTACTGAAGTTTTACTCTCTGAAAATTTCTGTTGTGTGTTTATCAGGATGTAGAACAAGAACAGATCCCTGAGTTGCCAGATCCAAGCTTAGAAATGGGCATTTTGCCCAGAGAAATCCAGAAACTGGTAGAACGGAGAAAACAAGTCAAACAGCTAATGAAACAGCAAGATTTAAACCCAGATCTTGTTCTTCAGGTATATTTTTTCACTAAGAGACATCTGAATGAAAATTTCAGCTTTTACAATTTGATTATTTAGGAATAGTATATAATAGTACAAACACTCAAGATGCTATGGGCAAGCACATGTGCTTATTTTATTTGTGGGTAAGTTGCCATTCAAAAACACTAGACTGCCTCAGAATAAGAGGTACTTCTATCTGCAATGGATGTATCTGTGCAAGATCTTTCTGAATTCTGGAAACTTTGGAGTCTATATATGCTTGCTTCCAGGAGGTTAGGGCATCATAGACCTTGGAAGACAGAGTATTTTAAGGGCTCTTTTTATTTCAGAGATATTGAGGGGTTCTTTTTCTCATTGGTGATCTAGAAAGAGACCTAATGTAATTCTTAAGCATCTGCAAATATTGTTGTTTGTCTTTCGTCCTTGTGTGGCCTGCAGTATGACATTCAACAGAAGGCTTTGAAGCTCACAGCGAACAGTATGTACGATTGCCTGGGATTTTCCTACAGCAGATTTTACGCCAAACCACTGGCTGCCTTGGTGACATACAAAGGAAGAGAGGTAAATCACGTAATCATATTCACATCTCTAAATATTAGAGTATTTTTAACTATATGTTTTGTAGTGTGGGAGAGACAAGTTTGCTCCCTAGTTATCTAGATTTAAATACCCACTTTTTAGAAAAAGTTTAAGACATAGGCATTTAAATAAAAATTTATTCATTCATGGGTGAGGGGTAATTATTGAACATCTATGTGCCAAACTTTGTTCTAGTCACTGGGGATAGAGAATTAAGCAAGAATATAGGTCTCTGTTATTGCAAAGCTTGTATTCTTCCTAGGATGATGGGGGCAGGGAGACATGTTTTTGAGGCCTGGGCTATTATGAAGAAGATACTTTAGTAAAAAAAACAATAATTAAATGAATACACAAACATTAAAAAACTAAGATATTAGGACAGAAGTAAATGCTCTGCAGATAATTAAAACAGGGCAGTGGCCTAGAGAATGTTTATATGACTAGTTTAGATTGGTCAGGTTAGGCCTTTTTTGAAGAGGGAACATAAGGGAGCTAGTTTTTGGTACCGAGTTTAACTATCGGTATTTGTGAGGGAAAGGTGGGAGTCAGGAGGAAAGCCAATGTAGCCTTTTACTAAAGGATTAAGAGTTCCATCTTGTATGTGTTGCCTTTGAGATGAGTAATAGATCTCCAGGCATATTAAGTAGGCAGTTAATTGGGTGTGTAAATTCAGAATTCCAGGAGTATGTCAGGCTGGATTTATGTGGATGGAGAATATCTGCTTTAGAATGATAGACCAGATACCAAACACATTTTAGGTACTATGACATTATGAACACTATAAACTTCATCTGTTTAGTACTATGTACATGATTATTTTTGATTTGTAAAAGAATAGTTATGGTAAATATTAAATTCATTTGACTCCATTAAACTGCTATTTCCTGTCAGTGAATTTAAGACTACTCATTCTTAAAGGTGGTAGATAGTTTTTCTGGGTAGAATGCTTGTATTGGGGGTCTGGGCATGGAATACTCTAGAGCAGGGTTTGGCAAACTATGCCCTGCTGGGCCAAATCTAGCCTGCCGTCTATTTTTGTAAATGAGATTTTATTGAAACAGAGCCAAGATCATTCATTTATGTATCATCTGTGACTGCTTTTATGTGGTAATAGCAGAGTTGAGTAGGTAAGATAGAATCTTGAGGCTTAGCATAGATAGCTTTTACAATGTTGAGGTAAGTTCCTGTTATCCCTAGTTTTTCTAATGTTTTGAACATAAAGAGATGCTGTACTTTGTCAAATGCTTTTTCTGCGTACACCATGGAGTATTACACAGCACTAAAAAATGACAAAATCATGGAATTTGCAGGGAAATGGATGGCACTAGAGCAGATTATGCTAAGTGAAGCTAGCCAATCCCTAAAAAACAAATGCCAAATGTCTTCTTTGATATAATGAGAGCAACAAGAACAGAGCAGGGAGGAAGAGCAGGAGGAAAAGATTAACATTAAACAGAGACATGAGGTGGGAGGGAAAGGGAGAGAAAAGGGATATTGCATGGAAATGGAAGGAGACCCTCATTGTTATACAAAATTACATATAAGAGGTTGTGAGGGGAATGGAAAAATAAACAAGGAGAGAAATGAATTACAGTAGATGGCATAGAGAGAGAAGATGGGAGGGGAGGGGAGGGGGGGTAGTTGAGGATAGGAAAGGTAGCAGAATACAACAGTAACTAATATGGCATTATGTAAAAATGTGGATGTGTAACCGATGTGATTCTGCAATCTATATTTGGGGTAAAAATGGGAGTTCATAACCCACTTGAATCTAATGTATGAAATATGATACGTCAAGAGCTTTGTAATGTTTTGAACAACCAATAAAAAAAAAAAGATAGAATCTTGCATGGCCTGCAAAGCCTAAATAATTTGCTGTTTGGCACTTTCAGAAAAAAAAAAAGTTTTCTGACCCCTGCTTTAGAGTCTATATCAGCTCTGTCCAGTA